CCGATGGTTGGACGGCAGTCGATAGGATGATCGAACGGTGGACAGAGAAAAACGGAACACGTTCCATCGGACGGACGACGAGGACAGCCTAGTGGTCCCCACCGAGCAATTGACGTGTCCGAGGAAGTGATGGAAGGATGGCACAATGTGCTTGAATGTCCCATAAGCGAGCGGGTTCTATATTAAACTGGTCCGGTTACGGGTCGTTCGGTTGTCTATCGTTCAGTCACTGGACTGTCTCCAGACGACCGGATCGGTTGGACCAGCAGGATAACGAGCGTTCGATTCCTATTCTTCTTCTTCATTGTGTCGCTTCTGTACGGCCTACGGTACTCCGCGAATCGATCGTTGTTCGCTTGCCACGCCGGACGATGAGCCGATCGAGCGGTTTGCGATCGCCTTGAAAAGCTGCAGGCCAAGAAAGCGACGCGGGAAAGCGGCGACGCTTCCGTGGGCGGGCAACGAAGCGCGACTGAATGCTCGATCGGCCATCGAGAAGCAAGGAGAACCAGGACTCGAGGGACTCCTGGCGATCGACTCGCTGCGTCGGAAGTGGCTCGCGGAGTGTGCGCGCTACGTGTAAGTGCTTTTGCTGTTGCTCTGCTGTTCTGATTCGGTTTTTTCGTATTTTCATCTCGCTTTTTATTGTTTTCTTTTTTCGTTTCGATTTTGGTTATTCGAATGGTATTAGATTTCGTGGGAATCGTAATTTGAAGTCGGTACGGTATAGTTATACTAAAAAGTAAAAGAAATTGATGAACTCGTAACAAAGACGACCCTTGTCGAACTTTTGTTTCTTTCAAGTAATAAGACATTCTAGTAGTCGGTAGCTAGATACAGAACACTGTAAAAGTTGATATTATAAAAAAAGTTTCATATTTTAAATAAAAAATCTACATCTTCGTTTATTGCTGAATTAAATTATCTAGTTCTATAGGAACCTTCGTCGAGAGGTTCATAACTTCCATTATTTTTAGAATTGAATTTTTATCCTTATTTATAAATATAGGTAAATCTTTGACGCTGAACGTTGGAGTACAGTTTATACGGGAAGCTTGGATAAAATAGTATCACTCGATGATGCTGAAGGGTGTAATATTGCTGCTTCTTCATTTATTTTGCGATATCGGTGAGCGTAAATCTAAATTTTTTGTGCTTCTCGTATTACACTTGCAATATTCTTAATAGCTTGGATCGTGTAATTCGATCGATAAAGATTGCTGACGATAACACTCGTGATTTTAGCATTGGCAGCACAATGCGGAAAAGTATGGCTGACAGTCTCCTCATTGTGGAGACCAATCGCTGCCAGCGACAAGGTGGTCGACGCTGAGCTCGAAGTAAATTGGGATCTCGATTGTCCATCGGGCACAGGATACCCAGATACCATCAAGGTGTTCACTGCTGACCCAGCACATAGTAATAAGTTTTGTTTGCTTCTCTTGAACGTCGTAACTAGTGATTCAAGGATTAAATCCTGTCTTATCGATGCTAATTAATCTATAGTTTCGTTATTCTCCTTTCTTTATCTTCGATAATTTTTATTTTCCATTTCTATGACAATTACTTTTTATATACGTCATATGTCATGAATTTATTCAAAAGAAGCTACACGAACCATTCAAGTGAACAAAAGCGTGTATTTTCTTCAATTTCATCGAAGTTTAAAATTCAAAAGTAACCATTTCGATATCGGTCGACGCAACCATCGATATCGCGCTTCCAGATAAAACGGTGAAGCCTAAGCTGACTTTGACTTCGCTGCAATATCCACGCGGTTACTATCGAACGAATATCACCGTGGGTCGTCCACCACTTCCGGGTGGATGGGATACCAAGGATGGCGCGACGCTTCCTGGTCCACATTGCCTGAAACACCATGCTGCCCTTTACAAGGATGGAGTTATCCTTACCAGTTCCTGCTTACAAATCTGGCCAACATGGATGTACGACTTGAGGTAATATACTTATCTTCCATAAGTTTCCAAACATTATTCAAATTAGTTTCTTCACTTGCCAATAAACATTATTCGGAAAGAATATTTCCTCATTAAGAAAATTTATATGAAATTAAAATTAAGAATCTATTTTTTCAAATTGTACTCAAATCATTTTCTTTAATTTCCAACAAATATCATTGCGAAATTTTTTCTAACAAACATTACTGGAAGATTTTCTTCTGAATAAATTCTTAAATCTAAATTTTATTAAGGAAGAATATCTTCCTTTACGAAAATTTATATAAAAAAAATTTGCTATGTTTTTCAGGAGGCAATTAGGAAGGCTTCCGATAGGAAGTTTAATGATACCCGGAACGCATAATTCCGGATGTTACAAGCACGGTGACCTGACGAGGCGGGACGCGTTTCAAAGATACCTCTTGACACAGGATCGCGATATATGGACACAATTAGTGCACGGTATAAGATATCTAGACATCAGGGTTGGTTATTATCCGTCAATTCCGAACGGCACTGCCATCGAAGAGGACAATCACATAAGCAGATTCTGGATCAATCATGATGTCATCCGGATCACCCCTCTCTCGGCCATCATCAAAGACGTGAGAAACTTTCTGGACGTCGCTAGGGGAGAAGTGGTCATCATGGATTTTCATAGGTAAATTGGCGATATAATGCAACACTGACGACTTACGGATCAATAATACCGAGAGAACAATTCGGTGCTCGTAATGCAAATTGATTTCAAATGGCTATGAAATTAAGTATAGTAGGTCAACATATTTATATCGTGTATCTAACAATTGAAAGGAAATTTTTGTTCCAAAGTCATGTATGACCTTATTGTAGAATAAGAATTGAGAGAAAAATTGGAATAATTTGGTGATATTTATATAGTAGAATAACTGCATATTTTATAGTTGGAGGGAAACGATGTTCACGATGGAATTGTGTTACTTTTAGATTTCCCGTGGGATTTGAAGATAGACCGAACAGGCATTGTCGATTGGCCATGATCCTCTTGCAAGAATTCAAAGGCTTGATTCTAAAACCCGATAGAGGGGTCGAAGGTCTGGGTCCGACCTTGAATGATATTTGGACCGGAGGGAAACGCTTGATAATTTGCTACGGCGACAAGCACACCGTTAATGGTAAATTTACTATCAACCTCCGTCCAATGAAATTACCTAGGTCAATATGCAGATTCATCCAGATATAAAAATTGGCTTAATGAAAGTTCTAATTTTACTTGAATTTTATACAGTTGGTCATAAAAGCACTTGACCATGTTAGATATTTAGAACATTTTATCAAAAATTATAAAATACTAAAGAAGAGAGACTACGAGAAATCTATTCTTTACGAATATTTATTATTCTTCTCAACATTAGTTGTTCAATATTTTCAAAATAAAATTATACTTCGAAAATATATACTTTAGTATAAAATATTCAGGTAATATCTTTTCAGCCAGCTGTACTTAGTTCATCAGGTATTTTATTTTAACATACTTATATTATACATATACTTTATATTATTTAAATATCCAAGAAGAGGATTTTAGAAATATAATGTGCACAGTACTCGTTCTTATTTTCAATATCATTTCAATTTTATTTCGCGAATCGTACTTGTAAATTAATTTTATTCCAGAATACGACTGGCTGTGGCCAACGATGTCTCAAGCCTGGGGCAATCAACAAACGGTGGAAGGGCTGTTCAAATATTTGGAGAAAGTTATCATGGGTCCGAAGAAGTCCCGGAACAGTCAAAATCCATTGTGGGCGGTGATGGCGGAATTAACACCGTATCCGCTAGACATAATCTTTAATTTATCCGGCGGACTGCGGCAGATGGCCGACTCGGTGAACAGAAATCTCACGTACAAATTTCAAGAGGAATGGTGGAAGGAAACGAACATCGTCGCAACGGATTTCTTCCTCGGAAATAATCTGATCGACGTGTCGATACAGGCGAACATTAAAAAGAGCAACATCGCCCAGTGGCGTTTGTAACGTGACAGTAAATTCGCATACTCTACGAAGATTTCACTTTAATTAGATGCTATTTTCTTGGTGGGAGGAAAAGTGCGGATCGTGTGAAGTTTTTCGAATTTCCTTTAGAAATGATTCTAATTCTATTAGGTTGTCCGAAATGTTTCTTTCGTTTTATAAAGAAATAATAGACGCACAATGTTTTTTGTTTTATATTAGTTTATTTAATTATGCACGAACATAATAATAGAAATAGAACGAAATGCATCATACCTAATTCAATAAAATAATATAAAACAGAAATTGTTGTTCATCTATTATCACCTTATGAAACGAAAGAAACTTTTTGGACAACCTAGTAATTAAAAATACGATAACTGATCGAATTATGTTTTGCAATAAGTTTCCTAAGCCATTTCTAGCGAAAAAGTTTTGAAATTTATTATTCGATAGAGCATTCTATGAAAATATTCAGAAAAATATAGGTGTTTATTAAATTTATTTGAATTATTTAAACTGATAATTATCTTTGAAATGCGAAAGATCGAGAAGGAGAAAGTATAAGGAAAAATAGAAATGCTTATGAGTTAAAGGGATAAAATCGGCAGTAATTTCTTTTTAAGGAATTATAAATTACTGATTAATGGTTTCTTAGTAGATCGGATTCATCGATTGACAGTGATAAAGAATCTTAGGATAACTGTTGTAAGAGACATGTACATTAAAAGCTCTTAAATGGAAGTATCAATACATGTACTAACGAGAAGACATGCTTTTATCTCTCTTATAGTGGCGGTCAAAATGTTCTGGTTGAGCTAACAAACAAAATTTTATTTTTCAAAATTCAATTCAACGATATAACAAACCTATATAACAACCGGATACTTTTGATAGTTACTATCACTATATTTAATATTCTCAAGATTTCAAACAAAAAGAATATGTGGAGTTCGCTATACGTTTGCTCAATCAACGTTTCACACTTCCAAAAATCATCAAGCCAATCTCACAATAACACGAAAACTTCACAAACTCGCATTTCTCAGCATCGTGTCAGCACGAAGCTATTCAATTCAACGGCGGAAACTTGCTGCACGAACCACGTGTCCTACAATTCCCGAACTTTTTAACGCGGCCGTGTTTCCACCGAGGAAAATAAACGAGTTCGTTCGAAACAAATGCCGCGACGTTTCCGAAACGTGCTCCAGCGAAGAATCAGCGTGGCGCGCATCGATTTGACTTCCAAATGGGACTGTAGAAAGCGAGATCACGTTCGGGACACCGGTTTTCGAGGTAGTCAGTCGTCTGGTAGCAGCGAACGACAACGAATCCATGCGAAGTGAATTTTAACACGGCTCCATCCGTCGATTCCTCTCGTTTAACCGACTTTCCACTCGCGTACTCGCGTTCATACTAACTTTGAAATACGCCTCGTGTTTCCATACTTTGGTACATTCTTAGTCTTTCTTTTTTTCTTCTTTCCTTTTTGTGTTTATTTATCTCCGTCGTTCGTTGACCACCATTATCGTAGCTTTATCACGACACTGATAAATGGTCCCCTTCTTGCTCGTCGAGATACGGAATGGCGCACGCAATGAGATGAATGAAACGTTAAGGAAACAACGAGCTACGTCGCCCATTCTTCGCGTTTTCTTTCTCGGTACGAAGCCAGCTGGACGGCTAACGTGAAACAATGGAGAACAATCTTGCGAACGAGGTGAAAGAGCTGTGGGTCGTTTACGTTTGGTGGTCATGCGTTCTCATTCTGAAGATGAACGCCCTGACGTGGTTCACTGGGCGAATACGAGCCACCAGACGGGTAAAATATCCTTATTTTCCTTATATAATCCTTATTTTGATCTAGCATTAGATATCAATAAAAAATCTGTCTGGTCGTTTATAATCTCTTAACCGGGAGATACGTATGCATGTGATAATTTATCATTCTTTATTCCTAATCTTCTATCTGTGTGTCAAAACTAAATTATATTATGTTTACATGGATGGCTGGCTGACAATCATGGAAATAATTTTCAAGATTTTTAAAAATCAAAAAGATAATTTAGTTCAGTGTTATTTTTCCTAAAACAGTATTCTACGTTTACTATTGTAAGAAATTCATTATACATATTTTTTCTACATCACGAAAATATATCATGATAGAGATTAAAGTTATTATAGAAATATATGATTAAATTTAATTTCTCAAAATCATCACTTGTATACCAATACGATTTCTATTCTGCCATATGTCTAAGTGTCAACTGATTAGCGGATTTAAGAAATCAATAATATTTGATCTTGAATATCGTAGTTATAACGATAAGAATTCTAGTATAAATACTACCATCTAATATCTTTTCTGTATCTGTAGCAGTATAACTAAGTATATTCAAGACACACTGTTATCTCTTGATGAGATATTTCGTGATCGAATATTATAAAATACATATTTCCTGTCTTATCAAAATTACCTAACAGACAAATCAGAGTTAACATACATTTAGACATTTCAAAGTTGACATCAATAAAAACACGAAATACTTTTGATCATTATTTATATTACGCCACGCCGCTTATCGTGACGAAAGTAGTTCTGAACGTACTTAAGCACTTGATTACATACGTATTTATGTTCTTGGCAAAAAGTGCCAAGTCTGATTATCGAAGGAGAGATTATTGATAATAGATTTTTTAACGTAATAATATTTACAAGTCCATAATTGGAACGCATCGTTTTGATCGATTTTTCACAGGTGATTCACAGCGAGGAGGACAAAATGTGGTTGGCAAGTACCGACATAATTTTATGTCCTACCGGAGGAGGTCACGAGGACGTGGTTCGCATCAGAAATGCACATCAACATGATCTTGGAATTGTAATCCCTTATCTGCTAATTGCACCGATATGGCTGACTACGTCACCGCTGTTTCCTATGGCTAGATTGATTTTACCCGCTTTTGCGGTAGTTAGCATATTACGTACGTTGCTCCACATTAAATTCGTGGACCTGCATCGTTATTGCATAACAATTCTGTCCATCTCGGAACTTTGCATTCTAATTTACATGTCCGTGGTATCTGCGTTTTACTACGCATCTTGATCTCGGTATAGTAATATACCTATTTCTTGCAGTTCTAGAAACGTGATCGTTGCATTTTGATACGATACGTAGCTGCAGCGTTCAACGTGTCTCGTGTCGCGTAAATCAGTAAATGTAGACGTCATCATTAGTGCGGTTTATAAAGGTCTCTTTAATAAAATTGAAATATGAAAAAACTTAAAGTTTTTGTGTCATATTTTATTTCATATTTATTGAAGATTTTTTTTTGCAAAATATGCGGGAATGAATTTCGAGATGTTTGTACCATCTATATGTGACACAATGAACATTTTTTAATAGACGTTTTACGTACAGGCAAATAAATGAACAAAAATATTGATATAATAGGTCAACGAGAATATTTAATTTATGTAATTTGATTTATTTAACACAATAAAGATGCAGTTCGAATAATTTACAATTATTTAATCAATGTAGAAGTACAGCGCGTATTTGACCCCGTGTTCAATACGTGTCTATTAGTGTCCAATAACTCTCATTATTAACACAAGCTAGTAGCAAAAATGCAAATCTGGCCTATAAAACGTCACAAATGATAAATAAACTTCTTAACCAATTCTTTTCACAGTCACAATTTAAGATGTTTTCTTCAGTTTTTATACAAAGAATAACGTGATTCTAGCACATTATAAAATATCTTGAAGTATCCGGATAAGGTGCATGTTACACAATACTCGTTGCAAAAACAAATCTTCAGTCCTTCTAACGATCTATCAACTTCCTGTTATAGACCAATTACAGTGTTCTTCGTCATGCTACTTTTTCAATGCATGAATTAACAACCGATAAACCAGAATATATATTGTCATTTATAGAACTACGATGGCAACTTTATTTTAATTTATTTGCCAGAGAAATTAAGACAATGCGCTGCGCTTCATCAGTCATATGCCGTGCACCCTTCTGATTACTAATTCGTAATTAGACATGAAAGAAACCGCAGAAGAAATTAATTATAGTTATTGTTTCACAGACAGCATGTGCACATGCAACATCGAGCCACATAAGAGCCGCGATCATCGTGCTTATTCGAGTTTCAACTGCTAACGTACTGAAAGCGAACACTGCCTCGGTGTGCAATATCTTCGTTATCATTGGATTTAATTGATAAGTATTTAGCTTGTCTAGATTATGACGTGTTCGTTATGTTACGTCTTTGAGATCAATAGTCAGTTATTAAGTTAATTTTGAGTGCAACCTGTTCAGATTCGTAGAGCAAAGCGTCATAGTCGTGATTCAACTGGCAAGAAGTACGAGTGATACTTTAAAGAATCGATCTCAGTGGAAATCGTGTAGTGCTCCTGGTAAGTTCTCTTCCTTTGTAATTTTCCATATTACACGGAAATTGTGAAGGCTGGAGTTAGTCATCTATATTGAAATAGAGTACAAATTATAATGCAAAGCAACAATGCAAATATTTGTGTTAGACATTTTAATATCTTCATTTTTTATATATTTAGATTGTAGTATATTCTTATTAATAGTATATTCTTATAAATTCTTGAATTTAATATCTTCTTAATTGGTTACGTCATTACAATTTCTTGGAAAATTCAGATCTTGCAATGTTTATTCATTCAAAACCGGTATACACGTCAATTCTAGTTCTAAAAACTTGGCAAAGAAATAAATGTGTATACGTATATACGGTCATTTCTAGACCTCGTTGGAACTAAAACACAAAATCAGTGTATAGAAACGGTAACATACAAATTTTTAATTTAATTTTTCTTTTAAACAGATACTTTTTATTAACCATCGATGCATGTAATTCCGTTGTCCACTCATATGATAATTTACATTAGACGATAGTTACGCGCGCTGATAGCGTAACGTCTATCAGATGTAACCTGATGCAGCGAAACGAGGGATAAGTCGAGAAGGGTCACTATGGATAGTGACAGTCGATTGTTCGCGGAGCTAGACAAAAGTTCCGTGCACAAATTGCTTCAAATGGAAGTGTTCGTCTTTGATTGTATATTTTTCTTTACATTTCTATATCTATTCGTGTACTTAATCGGTCGCCAAATTTAGAGGTTAGGTATACATTGTCCTTCACCCGTTGCGAAGGACTGACTATAAAGCCGTAACTTCGGATTACGAACGGAATTATTCGTTTTGAGGTGATTCGATAAGGTTTACGCTTATTGCGCGTAAAATTCAATCATGATTCGAAGAGAAATCATGGTGCTGTGATTCGATTTCAGCGTAAAGAAATGGAGATAGAAGAGAGAATAGTTCACAAACGGTCTTTCCGAAGCTTTCTGCAACGCATACCACAGCGTTTATCAGAAGTGGTGGAACATTTTTTCTATAGGTAGGTCTGATAATATGCCCTTTGAGTAATATAAGAATTCTTCGTTGTCAGCTTATATCTTTTTTCAGACTCGGGTTGCGAATTGCTCGACGACCGTTGAAATGGATAATTGGAAGTACTGTGATAGTATTGATTTCTCTTTCTGGTTTATATTTTTTTCATCAAGAGAAAAATCCTGTGAAATTATGGGTTCCACAGGACTCTGACTTTGTTCGTGACACAGAATGGATGTTCGAACAATTTGAACAGGGTTTGAGAATGGAGAATATGATATTAACTGCTGATGATGTATTAGAACCAGAAGTTCTTGCAAGAGTATCTACTTTTACTTATATATTTTATTGTAGTAAGGTTTCTCTATGTGTGTAATATACATTTTAGTTTATTTAAATTCTTTCAGTTAAATGGAATAACAAAGGAGATTATTTCTGTACAAACTTCTGATCAAATTGCATGGACAGATGTATGTTTCAAGTAAGCATTCTTCTGTGCATGTTATTGAACAAGCTTTATTTTATGGATACTATAAGATGTGCCAAAAACCAAAACTAATTTCTCTTTGTTTAATGAATAGAGTACCTGTCATATCAGGTATTGTACATAGAAAAAAGCGCAGCGATCAACTGCTGACTGATGATTTCTTTGAAATTGAACCAGACAAACAAATTAATAACACTGTATTTGAACCTGCAGTTCATGTTAGTCCTGAGCTCTATTGTAATGTAGTAAACAATTTGCCAAAAGCTTGCCTTTTAAACAGTATCTTGGATATATGGGAATATGACACTAATGTGATTCTTCATAAAACTAAGGAGGATATTATTAAAGATATAAACACCACAAAAATTAGTCCCACATTGGGTCATCCACTAAATTTTACAGAATTATTGGGTGGTATAACAAGAGATAAAGAGGGTAAAATCATCTCAGCCACAGCAGTAAGAACACAATGGGCAGTTAATGTAAACTTTTCAAAAGTGGATATGAATAATTTTGGCAACGATGTTGGAACAGCTGATTGGGTAAGGTAAGTTTATAAAAAGGCCTAAATCATGATTTCTAATGTTTTAAATAGTTTCGAATTTACAAAAGTCTTATAGAAATATTATTACTAAACAGCTTATAATGTGTACATTATATACCATATACTTTAAATGTTTTATATGATTTAGGCCTTGCTTTATTCTTGAAATGATTTTGTCAAAATCAACATTAAAATGTCGCTTTTTTGATAAAAAAAATAGTCGATTATTTATAATATATATTTTATAACATCTCAGATCTTTAATAGAATCAATATAAATTCTATATATTTTGCTTTGCATATATCATAAAAATATTTGGAATAAAAATAATATTTTATTTCTAGGCAACAGATGATGTATTACAGTGGGAGCTATCCTATTTGGATATATTGCACGAAAATGCAAGGATTTTAAATGACAAAAAAAATGTAAATAATACATTAGCTATCTGGTATGATGCTGGTAGAAGCTTTGGTGATGTTACATTTGTAACAATGTTCGGAAATATTGGTATATTATCAATAGGATTCATTTTAATGTTTTTCTACGTTCTAGTCATATTCTCGGATTACAATTGGGTGGGATGGAGAGTGAGTACTATATTAAACTTTCATTGATATAAGAAGTTGGAATATGAATGTAGTTTTTCATAAAAAGATTTTATGAGAAGCACAAATTTTAAATTTTACAAAATACAATTTTCTCCAGGTTTATCTCACAATTGGCGGCCTTTTGTGTGTGGGTGGTGCTTTTATAGCTTCAATCAGTGTGTGCTCTGCTCTTGGGATTTCGTATGGACCTGTGCATACTTCTTTACCTTTTATGTTGTTGGCTCTTGGAATAGACGATAATTTTTTAATAATGGCATCTTGGAAAGAAATACATACATACAAGTTGAATCAAAATAAGCCATTAGAAGAAAGAATAGCTTTAATGTTAGGACATGCAGGCTCGGCTATTATTATTACTTCTCTTACTGACGTTGTTGCCTTTATTATTGGTGCATCCACAGTAAGATTGAATTGACATTTAACTTATTACATAGATGAAAGGTATGTATGTGTGTGTGTATATATATTAAATTTTATATATAATTCTAGATATTGCCATCCCTTCAATCATTCTGTATTTACGCGGCGGTTGGAGTGCTACTGACGTTTTTATTTCAAGTCACGTTTTACGTTGCCTTCTTTACCGTCGATGCCCGACGAATCGAGAATAAAAGAAATTCGATACTACCTTGCATCGTTCATGAAAACTTTGTACAGAAATTCACTAGTCCGCAAGAAGAACCTGCCGCAAAGTTGATAAATAAATTATATTCAAATATAATTCTGACAAAACCCGGAAAGATAATGATAGTATTAATAACAATAGTTACAGTATCGGCTGGAATTATGGGTACATTAAAATTGGAACAATGGTTTGACCCAGGCTGGTTTATACCAAGCCATTCGTATTTAAGTAAATATATTGACGTACGACGCACTCAATATCCCGAACATGGTTACGAAGCAATGATTCTTATGGGAGATTTCAATTATACCGCCGAGTTTCCAAAGCTAATAAATTTGGCTGAGAAATTTGGAAATTTATCAACGATACAAAGTATAAATTCTTGGCCCAGTGATTTTGCCAAATTTGTCTTGGAATATTTTCAAAAAGGTTGACAATATTTTTTATCATTGCAACAATAATAATTCAAAAAGAAACTATAAGAAACAAATCAATAATATATTTTATAAGTATATATATATATAAATATTTTAATTAACAGATTTAAGATATGAAATACTAGAAGACGTGGAATTCCGAAAATATCTGTCCAAGTTCTTATTTAGTCGAAATGGAGGCAAATATCAACGGAACTTCCGTTTTGAAAAAAGCTTAACGTGCGGTGAAAGTACTGCACCGATTTTAGTAGCTACTATAGATCTTACCTTTAAACGATTTTATGGTCCTCATCAATGGATCCCAGCAATGGATGAAAGTAAGCAGGTGGCACATGATGCTGGAGTCAATGGTTTCGTCACAGTCTGGAGCGAAGTATTCAGCTTGTGGGTCACCGACAAACTAATCGCTCAAGAAGTTCAGCGTAATGTTTTCTTGGCTTTGATTTGTGTCATGGGAATGACAGGGTTACTGATCGCTGAGCTGCAGACATGTTTCTGGATCTTTTTATGCGTACTTCTTACACTTTTGAATGTTTGCGGATTCATGTACTTTTGGGGCTTGACAATAGATATTGCATCTTGCATTGGTGCGTAATCAGTTTCTTTGACAATTCAACATAGCACAATTTTGTCAACACTATTATATTAATTTTTGTTTTCCAGGTTTGGAATTGGGCATTGGATTATGTGTGGATTACGCTGCTCACGTTGCACACGCATTTATAAATGCTGCGAGTGTAAGCGAAAATGAAGATCGTACAAAAAGAGCACATATCGCGGTGAGGTACATTGGTGCAGCGGTTGCATACGGTGCTGGCTCGACGTTACTTGCACTTTCCATGATGGTATTCTCGGACAGTTATGTGTTCCATGCGTTTTTAAAGATTTTTGTTTTGGTAATATTGTTTGGTCTCTGGCACGGATTATTTCTTCTGCCAGTTATATTAAGCACTATTGGGCCAGGAAGTCTACGATCACATAGAGAACCAGAATCTCCAGAGAAGGTGGAGGATACAGGCGACACCGTTACTAGTCCCCTAAATAAAGCGACGGAGAGTTAAACAGAACGCCTAAGATGATTCTTTATCAATAATATTTATTTTTGGTTCAATAAACATACAAAATTATTACACTATCCGTACTATTAATCACACATTTATACAAAAATAATAATAATAAAGATCGGATAACTTAAAAACGGCATTATTTATATATATATATATATTTATCTAATATATTAAGATTAAAAAAACAAGTACAAAATAATGTAGCAAGGTTGATATAGATTTATTAATAATTATTGATCGGAAAGGAACATGACTATTATAAACGTAACGTAATCGTGTTGCTGGATGCATTATCTTTTTTTTGTTTTGTATGTATAATCATAATTAATGTTTATGACGTAAAAATGAGCGGCGAGGGAGCGACCCCGGATTGATTGGCAAGCTCCCTCCGCTGCCTCTCTCAGTCTTACACAGTCCACAAACATTCATGCAAATCTTTCATTCGAATGATCTGTCATTCCCAGTCTTTCTTATTTGTCATCTCACTCTGTACCAATGGTCCCGCTCCTCCTTTTATCGAGACCATTTTTTTGACGTAAGATCAATCTTACCTCCTCGAGCAGAGACAAAGCAAACAAGAAGACCTAAATATATGCTCATACGTACACGGTCATCCTTCGACAAAGACATTCGATTCGAGACGTACGTTCTCTCTCCAAATACGACTCAGCATACACGGTAGTAGACTGCCGGGGCAGCAAGCCACGCACGAACGATACGGCGATACACATCTCCTTACTTAGTTCGAATTTTACAAATTGGGATCGTACATTCCATAATTAACGAGGAACCATCAATACAATAATAATATTTACTTAGCAAAACGTGCCGATCGGTAGTGTGGCGAAGGACGCGTGATGTGTGAGCACAGTTAAACGCGTTACGAAGGGAGGGGGGAATTTGATGATAATAACGATGATATTGGTGGTGGAAGGGGTGATAAAGTTGGCGCAGGAGGACGTTGGTAGAAGGGAGAGGCGGGTTCTCCTTCGTTTCAAAGGCTGATGATGACTGAGCAAAGAGGGAGGTTGATTGAACGTTTCAAGGAAATTGCACGTCTGCTTACCAGGAGTTCAAGGTACACGCACTTTATAGGGATACACCATGGGAAAGACACTCAGGGCAGACACTGATATAGAGACTAGGCTACCGACTATATGTATACCTATCTAAACGTGTAATTAGCGTACGCACCGCGTACACCCGGTACGCCCGCACTCCGCCCTTTCGGGTTGTTTTTATTTTTTGTTATTATTTCTTTTGTGTTTCAATAAGTAAGCACGTGTACTTACATGTTCGTTACACGCGCTCCTGTCCCTCACTTTCTATTTGTCTTTCTTGCTCTCTCTTCTCTCGCTGTCTCCTTCCTACTCGTTTGTCTCACTTTCCCTTTTTTTTTCTTTTCGATCTCCTCCCCTTTTCGTTTTGTTTAAATTATTATTATCATCGTTTTATTACAATCAGCGATCGCGTCGTAATCGTGCTTTTATAGTAAACGCTATGTAGTCTTTATTACTCAAGCTTATGCCCAAAAATCTACCAGAGGCACTTTGGGTTTATTAGTACCATTTGAAGTCGGCGTGCGCGGGGGAGGGCGCTGCGAGTCCTTTGTCTTTTTTTGTTAATTTTTTCATTTATTTATTTATTTTTGTCATTTGTAAGTGATACAGCGACTGAACAACGTGAGTATCTTCTCGGTTTTCTTCTCGTGTTTCTCGACTTGGCGGAGTACCCTGTCTGTGATCCATTTTTTTCTTCTTTATGTCTCACGTACGTTCGCCGCTTTTTAATTTACGCACCCATCCATTCCCCCTCCCCCGTTCCTTTCCCGTAGCCTACCAACTCCGCATTTTTTCCTGCTGCCTTTCCTTCCCACACACGGTCTTCCGATGTTTTTTGAGCAATAAATACTTTCTCCACTGACAACTGCACATTGAATTGACGCACGGGACACTCTCACGCATACACAAACAACACTCATTCGCTACTAGCCGCTCGCGTTGACAGAACTCACGAAGGTTGATCCGATTCGAACACCTTCGGCGATATGAATTCTTTTATGATAGTCTCGATATTTTATCGAAACTTACCTACGCGGAATCGAGAAGTCTTATCACGTGACGAAACACCTCATTGGGTTTCGATGTGCGTTTGTAAAAGTGGTTCGTTAATAGTACGATTAACTTGGAAGAAATGATACAGCGAAGATTATGAAGATTCCTAGCGAAGGGTTTTCGAAAACGATGATACCAGGTTTGATCCCTCTCTCTCTTTCTCTATACATATGTATATAGATTAAAACGAACGATTTATACGATTCGACTCGTTTGAAAATGGCGTATAGGTAAAATACTCCTAGAACAAAGAGGTTTTTCGAGCGCTGTCTATCGCGAACGGCTCCCGACCACTCTCATCTGCATCAATTGTTTTAAACTTTCACCCATACCAATATGGCTACATCCACAAAGTTTAATGTTACGCTTTAATTAATGATTATCAATTCATATCAATTCAATATCAATGTATTACAATCAGACAATACTCAACAGTGATCGTTATTCATTATATATTACAATAATTAAGAGTGACAACAACATGACGACGGAGGCGTTGAAGCATTACAAGGGAGAAGAGAGAGTGGCACAATGTGATTTCTTAGGAATGATGAGAAAGAGTAGAAGAGGCGCCGATAGTGGACATCTTTACTACATGTAATACAAAGAGAGGTAATTGATGACACGAGGACAATGAGGGATTTTTTTCTGATGAACATGAATTGCGCGACAATGATCAGGTGAACATCAGGTGATGGATGCACGACGATGAGAACGAACGATTAATGATAGAATGGAACAATGAGCTGGAGACCAAGGAGGGGAAGCACGCACACTCAACACAACCGTCACATCGAGCTGGCCTCGCGCGCGGCCATAGTCCATAGATTAATACCTATCAACTAATACACAGTCTGTCTCCGATTTCGCGGATGACTCTTTCCTTTTTTTTCGTTTTGGATGCATGTAAGTATAAATAATACGCGTAATGCATGGCGTACGTACAGTATGGCATCCTGCTCAATCAATGACGGTCGAAGCTCACGTTTACAAATTTTGGACGAAAATTGCTATCGCGACGCCTCTGTTTCTTCATTTTCCTTTTCTTCTTGCTCATTCTTTCTCTTCTCGTGCAACGATTAATCGCCGCGAGAGAAATATCTCGGTATCGGCGCCTATACTGTACGCGCGCTCGTTCTTCGGATACTGCATATACATACACACATACTTTTGCGCCGGTATAAAGTGTATATATGTACACATATACATACGACATACCATCCATGTATATATAATATACTCATATTGTTTAATTAATCATCGTTAATCGTTAATTATCTTATTTATTAAAATTCGTCAGTTCGTAATTCAAAAAAATTTCTGCTAATAGCGGTGGATGGAAATGTTTCTTCGTTAAAAATCGCCGATCTCCGATAGCGGCGGCAAATATCGACCGTTTTAAACACATTTACAAGTTATCGGTTTGATCGGCTGATTCGTTCACTCACTTATAACACTAATGTTCTATTATTTTTTTCGTTCGTTTTAAAACCCTATCCGCCGGCGGTCGCGGCGTGTAAATCGTCATCACGACGATTTCATAGCACGCGAAAAATTTTTCAGTTTTCATTTCGTATGTGGTTGCGTGGCCGCCGGGTGGTGTGGTTGCACATCGATAATTCTATTACAATTAATCGTGATTTTGGTATTTTATGTACAATTATGCGTGACAATGCGCTGTTGTGTTTATTGCCACACCTGCCAACCAGCGACCAAATTCAGAAGACTTTGTCACAAAAACACTTCAGTCCTCGTAGACATTTTATATTTCTCCCGTTCGAACAGTTTAGCAGTCCGTTGTGCAATTTCTTCTTGTATTAATAATTCGCGTACTAAGCTGAGATAACTGGCTTGCACGGAAACCTGAGACGATCGATTACAACATAGGCCAGTCCTCTTGGTGCTTCATTAAGAGTACCTAATTGCGGTAGAATATTCAGCAGGGTAACTCTTGGCGGGCGGGCTTTGTCATATGCTTCATAGAGTTCATGGTACATCAGGGGTTATCCGCCGCCATTATATTGTGTACCTGTTCGAGTTTGTATGCCAATCTCTGCTTCTGTGAAAACTCGTCCTCCTCCAAAGTAACTATCAGTTGTTCGTTGTATTTACCCGCGTACGTGTATAATTCGTACAGGGCACAATTCGTGTTGAACTCCGTCGTATGCAACTATAACAAGGAAATGAAAAAAATGAGAAAATAAGAATTGGCAATAACTATAATTCTATTAGAATCGCAAAAAAAAAAAAAAGAAAAAATACATACCCTAGACTCTTCGGCAAGCATGGCGTTCATGTCTTGATCGGATATGGCTGGCATCACTTTGATATCTGCATAATAACGTTCTACCCACTCTTTGTACACTGGAATGTCCTTTGCGTAAAGTAGTTTAGAACTCGGCGAGTCCTTGCCTATAAATAAAATTAAAAAATGAAGATAATCACATTAACATGTCCAAAATTCAAGAAAAAAGATCCATAGAAGTTAAACAGGTATTACATACCTAATCTATGATCTGAAGTGGAACAGCTGTCCATGAACGTTTGCGCGACGACGGACAGACACGAATCCACGATGTTCGATTTATGTATATCGAAGATGAAGTTCGGATTCTTAATCAGATTCACCCAAAACCTGAGTGGGAGCGAATTGCTCTTCCATGTGTGAACGACTTCAGGATCGGATATGCCGTGCTGCAGTGCTTGGTCGTCCATAAAGTCAAACATGTATTTGATCGCGAGGGGAAGAGCTGATCCTCGATGGGCAGTGCTAAAGATTGTTTCAAACAGGTCATCAACGAACTTTTGAAGTGTACCCTTCGTGGCTAATAGCCTCGTTAGGTAGATTTCTGACACCATTTTGTTTCCACGGTCTCCCTCCTTTCGTGCATCGGAGTCATGGTGCTTGACAAGATGCCAACATTTCAAACCACCGTCGTGATTCTGATTTAACGGCGATGTGGCACGGGAGAGCGGTGGACTGGCTGAACTGAATTTACTAAGATTCAGGGTTTCGT